TGCCAGAAGGCCTGGGGGCCAGAGGGGGGCCTGCACCTGTGGAGATGGCTGGTGGGGTGATTGACCTTGCCCCCGCCATCATCTTGAATGTTTTTAGTATTTATGTACAGGGTTTGTTGTCTTTATTTGATTTTTAATGGTTTAATTTATTTTAACTATTTATGGGGTATTTTTAATTGTTGATGGGGTTTCTGGTTTTAACTGTGAGCTGCCCAGAGTCACCCATTGTGGGGAGATGGGTGGCATACAAATTTAATAAGTAAATAAGTAAATAAAATTTAAAAATCTTATGCTATTGGCCTATCCAGTTTGGATTTTGCATACTAAAATTATTATTTGGAAAATGGATATTAATATTGCAGCTCTCCCATGTACTGCCAGCAATAGTCATAGAGAGTACTTTGCAATGCTTTTCACATTTCCTATTATCCCATCTTTCCCATCTAACTGGTTAGCTTGAATTCTTCAGATGCAATATGTAACCACATGGCTAAGTCAGCAAGAAAACATAAAATTCAAAATGTTTAAGAAAGAATTTTCATTCAACTATTTTAGGAATCCATACTTACCAACACAAGGCTAGGAGGCATCTGAATCGCTACTTTACTATGTTGGCTGAAATATTGCAGGAAGAATTTTGAGCCATGTAGGATAGAAGGCTCTCACAACAGAAAACCAGCTCCAAAGTTACCTCCTTAGCACCTGGAAAATATAAACAGGGCCAACATGCTAAAATACATTTTCTGAAACTCTAATGATTCTTTCTGAGGTAGTTTATGTAATATAATTTGAAAAACTTTATACAAGGCAAAAGCAAGCACATTTGGGATTTAAAAACACTTAAAATGGAGATATCTAGACAGAGAACAGTCTCTCTATGAATGATTACAATATTATTCTTCTCACTAAACATTTAATGCCAATAACTACAATGACAAAAATTGAATTTATATACCACAGGTAGTCCATTCTTCTATAAAGCCTGTCCTTGGTCTGACTTCTGAAAATGCCCCTTCTATATATGACAGGATGGACACACTAATGCACAACAAGATATATGTAGCAATTTTATTTATGCTTTAACTTAAAAGAGAAGCACTCTTAATATTTATGACACAAGAATGGCACTTGTGTACATGGAGTTAGAACTGGAATTTTACTCCATTTTGAAATGGAGTGCCTACAATATCTTAAAAATCAAGGAATAAATCATTTGGCAAGACAGATCTTGCATTCAAATTTTAAAAAGGTAACTGTGTTATGGAGAACCTATAACATAAGTTAACACAGTCCTGCTGGGGCTGGGGGATGTTCCTGGGAGGGATGAGCGAAGAACTTCAGGAATGTATGCCAAGAGTATATATTCCCAGCAGGGTCACCCAAGATGTGAAGGTCATTCCAGCTGCCCAGCTAAAGCAAGCAGGCGATATAGGAAGATGCCAGAAGCAGACGATCACTTTAGTGACAATGGCAAAGGCATCAATTCACACTACATGGAAGAAAGCAATGGTAAACTACTCCTGTATTTTTATCAAGAAAGCCACATGGATAGAAAATATAAAATGATTGACGATATAATGTCGGATGATGTGTCCCTCAAGTCGGATGGCACTCAACGTGCTATTGAGGAAGAGCTGAGAATCTTTCAGAGTACTAATGGTGTTTATGACATGGCTAGATCAAAGCCTTCAAGACATCTAGCTGCTGATGTTGCCATACAGGAAAAGATAATCCAAAGCTACAAAGATAGAATTACAGTAGGAACATGGAACACAGCTCTCTGGAAAAGGCTGTAATGCTGGGAAAGGTGGAAGGAAAGAGAAGAGGACGACCAGCAGCAAGGTGGATGGACTCAGAGTGGTGATGGGTACACCATTGGAAGACCTAAAAGACCAGGTTAGGAGTAGATTGTCCTGGATAAAACCTATCTATGTGGTCGCTAGGAGTTGAAAATGACCTGATGGCACATAATCAATAACATATATCAGTTTACAAAAATGTATCCTATAATAAGGGGTTCCAGCTGGACTTCAAATAACTGGTGTAAAACTATCTTACAGAGGCTTTAGAAAATTACATTATTAGGCTGTAATTGATGGATACTGCTTCTGTTAAGGCAGGCTAAAGCATATGACAGTGCGGAAATTTCTGAATTGTACTATCTGGCTCTTGATGGATGACCATAGAAAAAGACTTTTCTGTTTTAAAGGGAGAAATAAGTTTGGAATGAATCCTTGAAGAACTTGGAATGATGCTTTGGGGTTTAATCGACTGTGACTATATAGAGACAAACTGATACAAGCAGCAACAGATTATATCTTCACTAGGACCAATTGAAATGGCACAAAGTAACGTGCAAAATTCTGAGACCCTCAGAACTTTTCTTCGGGTTTGATAAAGAACGGTGGAAGGAGAAAAATCCCAGAATGAGCTCAGTTATTTCAGTCATGATATCTGAACACAGTGATGTTCACAGTTGAGTCTGAAACAACTGAAGATAAAATTAGGCTCTCCTCAGAACACATTTACACTATATGTGGATTCTTTAAAATTGTAAAATGTGGACATTGCAAAAGCTTTAAACAGATGGTAAGACTACTTAATGGAATGATAATTCCATTAAATCAATGATTTTTGAGAGATACTGAGAAAATAGAAATGATTGAAACTTAGTCCACATTTCAGGGCTGTGGAAATTCACCTTTACCAATGTAAGATATTCAGATCATTTGTCCTTTTAGCTCATCAGGGTTTACACCATCTGGCAGGGTTACTCCACATGTCTTCCTGGACCTAGAGTTCTAAAGAACAGAACCTACCACATACTGTACCATAAGCAAAAGCCCTCAAGATTTTAAGAATCACAACCTACAGTTTTAATAATGAATTCAATCCTTATGATATGATCAAAATATAATGTATAGTCATTCAGAAACAGACAAAAATTACAAAGTTATGCACAAGGCATAAACATTAATTCTGTGTGTTTCAAAATCCTGTTAATTGCATGCTCCATCTTCAAGATATTTATAGTGTTGACAGGCTTCATTCTTTTTTTAAATATAAAAAAGGTACTCTTTCCAAATGTTTTATTCTGGTACTTGACATCTGGCTGACTGGCATAGCACATTATGCTTGGAAGAAAAAAGCAACGTGAAATAGCATCAGTTGGCACTTGTATCTATAGGTAGTAAAATGTGGTAAAATGCCAGGGACTTCAAATGCACCAAGTTTTGTGATATGTGTGTCACTATAAACATATACAGTGTTGTGTGCATCATCATCTGCCTCTTGCACCAGAATGAGACTTTAAAAGAGAATTGCTACCATGATACATCACGAAAGAGATACTACTGTACAGCCCATCAGGCCAATGTTTTTAAAACAGCAATCACAATAGAATTCATTAGGTATTTTCAATCACAGAAATAACTTACTCCTATAGAACATATAAAATAATTATGCCTTCAAGCTGAGGAACAAGCAGAATCAATATCTACAGAGGTAGAAATGGGATCCTTTGGGATGCCAAGTAGTACTGAAAAAGAAACCAGTGAAGTTTGTAAGAATTTGGCTCATTACTAAAACTCTCATTGCAATACAAAGTATTTCAAGCCTGAGCGTGGAATGTAAAAAATGTGGTAGAGATAGGCCTTTTATACAGTACAGTAATGTGGAAGATTCAATTCTTACATATTGTAAATACTTGCGAATTGTTTTCCAAAATGTTTCAACCTAAGCAGCAATCTTCTAATCATATAACTCAAAATACGACAGAAAATCTGGTTTTGCTACACTGGTTTTAAAAACTGATATTCTGCCTTTTTTATCTTTCCATAGAAATGGTCTATATAATGAGGGCTCAGTCAATGCTTTCAAAAGGAGATATTGGTGTCCATCTGGCTTCAACCTACTGCATTTCACATTCTGTCTAATCATCTCTCCTACAACCACCATAACAAGCAACTTGTACTAGCAAAAAAGAGAGGAGGAGACCAGGAGGCAGGCAAAAGACAGAGTTCTGGAGGCCTCACAGAGCAGAGCAGAGCATGAGAAGAGGTGTAACGTCCTTCAGAAAGGCAGTCATTGTGTGGCATGACTGGGCCTCTGATCTCACTCATACTCTTCCCCAAAAGCAGCAGGGAAGGCAGATAGTCTCTGGTCTTGCTCTTTTGGTGAACCATCTCTGAATTAAGGGGAGGGAATACGATAACAAAATTTCAAGGTACTTCCTGCTGACATTTGTGCTAACAATCTGGATCCCACAAGATTCAGTCTTTTCTCCCATACTGTATGAAGCTAAAAAGTAAGCTCATGAGAGGATTTGGAATGATGACACACCATCAACATGTAGAGAGAAATCAACTCTCTTTCTCACCATTTGAATCAGAAGCTGAACTAGTGCCTGAACGTGGCTGGATGAGGGCAAATGACTTGAAGCTGAAAGGTATAAGATAGCCTAATGGGCAGTTAGTTCTAATATCCAAATATGGGGCGCACCCTATTCTAGATAGAAACATACTCCTCTTGAAATCGTAGATGTGCAATGTGGGCATTCCTGGGCCCAGTACTTCCATAGATACTAGTACTAGTAGTTCCCTAGTACTTCTTTGTCACTTCTGGGTGAAGTCCAGGCTTGCCACCTATGATCGTCTGTGTATAAGAACAGTCTGACAGTAGCTCATACTCTGGTAAGCTCCCAGCTGTACTCTTAATGTCATGAATTTGTATGTGGGGCTATCCTTAGGATAACTCAGAGGATTTAATTTGCACAGAATGTAGCTGCTAAAACGTTAATTAAGACTGTTTGCTTCTAAGGAAGATGAAGTTGTTTGCTTGCAGGCTCAATTCAAGGAGCTGATTTCTCTTTAAAGTATTAACCAGTTTTGGACGCACATAGTTAAATAAGTCCTAGGTTAAATAAGACATACAGAGGTTTTTATCAAAATGTTTATCAATAGTCATATGGTAACCAAAGAAACAATTATTTCTATATTATCCCATTTGAGGAATAATCCCCCCCCCCAAAATCTGGATGACCACTACATTGCACCAAGTATAGAGTTTGTATCTCTTAGCTTAACAGCTGAGAGATACAAAGTGGTTGTCTAGACTTTCACAGCCCAGCTATGGTAGCTGTAGTATAATGGTCAGCTCCCAGACTAATAAAGATCAGGAGACCATTAGGTAAGTAAACCAGCTGTATGCTCCTTCCTGATCAGTGAAAAGACTCACTACTCTCCCAGTTCACAGAAAAAGCAGTAAGAAAGAAAATGGGACGTATTGGTTCTAGATGGGAAATTGTTCAGTTGCTGAAATTCTTATAACCCATCTTTTTCTTCCCAATACATCTTGCTAAAGAGATTTTGTGAGAATCATGCTTGGAAAAGAATCACTCTTAATTTGAAGCAGATGCCAAAGAGCCTGACACCTAGAGTAAAACAAACTTACAGTGCCAAATTAAAGGTTTTGTGTTTGTCTGGGTGTTTCAAGTTTTGTAGTGCTAATTTTAATGCTCTTTTATTCCTTTGTATTGTATTTTATGAGGGATTTTTGTCATACTGTCCATTACTTTAATATTTTTGTTACATAAGTCTTTTGATAGAGATTTATACATTTAGAATAAATAAATATAACATGGAGAATCCTCCTATAGCCAGACTACAAACCTAGTATGATCCAACTTAATGTTGCTCATACTC